TATTAATCCGTCCCATAATAGCAGCAAGCAGACGATCACCACCCTCCCCCCTCCCGCCGATATGAGACCGAGGAGAAGCAGGCGATTAATAATAAGACTCAGATCGTTAACAAGCAACTTAGGTCACATCAAAAGAAGAACCTAAATCGAAACGGACTGATGACCGAAAAGGGAGCGACAGAAATCGGACGACTGCGGTGCACTTGAAGAAAAGAACTTCGTAGGGTGGAAAAGCAGAGCTCGTCTGAGAAATCGACAGAAACCTCCGGCGCCCGCGTAGACCCAGACGAGACGAATGCGAATATCTGCTTTATTGACATGAAAGATAGGAGCAGTATTTCCACAAACACGATGCCATTAGTTCAAGAAAAAGTCCCTAAAGTTGATGGCAACCAAAATATCGCCATGAATGGTTCGCCAGGAACTCCCAAGTCCCCATAATCCCGCAGCAAAGCCAGGCCGCTCCGAGAACAGTGACTAGAAATACAGGGACTTCAGGAGCCACACACAGACACACCTAAGGAACGCGTTCTAGCTGATCCCAGCTTGTTCCAAGGTCTTCTAAATACAACGCTTCAACGCAATGAAGGAGTTTCAGTGTTAAAAGCCTTCAGACTCAGAAAGCGCACAGCTGAATCCGCTATCCCACCGCATCGTAGACTCCTCAAAATTGTTCTGCGTTGCAAAGAACATGTTGATCTCCTCCTCTCAAGACGTTTTATGTTAAAATATCCCCACCAAGGAGTTTTTTCAGGCGGATTACACACCACCGGAGCGGCTAAACGCCGACAGTTAGTCCAGGGGCTAAGGCTGCGTCAAAGGAATGGCGAACAAAACTTGGTTATCTACAACACCTGCATCATCGAGCGACTGTCCCGGTTTATATGGACGCGGCCCGTGCGTATGTCGTCACAGCTGAGACAAATGACAAAGGCGGCGACACAGCCGGCTTACCAAAGACAAAAAAGCTAAAATGCTTATATTCGAATGCGCAAAGTCTGCTATTTAAATGAGATGAGCCTGAGATCTACGTTAAACAAACCTTACCCGATGTAATATTCATAACTGAAACGTAGCTGCCCACGAGCGTAGACGATCGCGAAGTCGCTTTATACGGTTATCACTTGTTCAGAAAAGACAGATTGGGACGTCAAGGTGGGGGTGTGCTCACATATGTCAAATATGACCTTACGTCAGAAAAAAGGGGCACAATTTGCTCGCACAACTGAGACAGTGTGGCTCACCATCAAAACGCAGGGGTCACATGCTCTCGAGATCCTGACGGTCTACCGCCGGCCGAGGAACGACCCGAAATCAAGCAGTCCGATAGAGGAATTAGAAGTGATTTCGATCGGACCCAATGCCTTGATTATGGGCGACTTTTACGCTCCGAATATCGATTGGCATCTGACTTCTGCCCAAGGCTCAGAATTTAAATTTGATCGCCGCTTCCTACAAGCAGTGCAAAGATTGCATCCCAAACAACACGTCTCATCTCCAACCAGACTACGTTAAGGGCAACTAGCTAACTGCTTAGACCTTGTATTCACAAAAGCACCTGAAAGCGCTGGTGTCTAACCCCTCTCGGAAAAAAGCGACCATGTAGTCCTACAGTGGGAGCACTCTCTCTTCTCTGTACCTGATCAAAGAATTGTGATCAGTCGCAACATATGACGTGGTGATTTCAACCGAATGCGTCTTGACATGCGTCGTAGAAACTGGAAAGCAGCATTCACGGGGTGTGTCCTCAAGGACTGGTTAGAACTTAAAGCCGTATTGCATGAACTTATCACCAGATACTGCTCTAAATCAAGAAAGAAGATCACCAACAGGCCCCGATGGTTAAATGGCACACTAAAGGGTGAAGCAAACCGTAAACAAAACCTGTGGAAAGCTTATCTCAGGGATAAGATAATCGAATCAACAAACAGGTACAAGGCTCAGAGGAATATGGTATGGTGCCTTGTTTACGAAGCCCGCCAAGACTTCGAGGGTAACCTTTTAAACTGTGCAGGAGAAAACTCAAAGCTTTTCTTCAACTACATAAGACAAAGCACCCGCAACAGGGATCCCATTCCTATGTTAAAAAGGGATAATGCCGTTGAATTTTGCAAGGACGACGAAAAGGCTGAGCATCTAGCCAGGTTCTTTCAGTTGGTTTTTACGAGAGGAGTCGATGTACCTGCTGATCACTATAACGTGGACGATGTCCCGAAAATTGACTCAGCGGTTCTCAAAAAGCTATTTTTCAACAAGAACTACTGAAGGTAAAAGAGGCGACATCTTCAGGTCCTGATGAAACACCAGCAAATTTGTTGAAGGAATTGGCCACAGAATTGACAGAACTTCTGTTTTTCCTCTTCCATGCCACTTTTGATGCCGGCAAACTGCCTCCTGAGTGGAAGACTGCGTGGATTTCATCGATACATAAATGTGGCAGTCGCGCGTCCGCAAACAACTACCGACCGGTAAGCCTCACCTCCATAGGCTGCAGAGTTATGGAGCGAATTATCAAACGCAAACTGATGCGGTTTTAAGAGCAACATCATCTTCTCTCTGATGCACAGCATGGATTCCGCAGAGGAAGCTCCTGCGTGAACAATCAACTCTACTGTCTTGAACAGTGGATCCGAGCGATTGATGAAGGAAACGTGGTGCATGTGGCCTATATAGACCACAAGAAGGCCCTCGGCAGCGTGCTAAACCAACGTCTCCTATACAAGCTTAGCCACACAGGAGTAAGAGACAAGCTTTTGAAGTGGGTTGAAGACTTTTTGATCGATCGGTCTCAGACTGTCCGTCTTGGTGGCCAGCAATCGGCATAGGTAACGGTCACGAACGGAGTATCTCAGGGTTCCGTTCTTGGTTCTGTCCCCTTCCTCATCTATACTGATGACTGCACCCATGGGTTGCACTGTGACATTGTCATATTTGCTGACGATATAGAGCTTTGGACCGTCATCCGCAACGAGGAAGATGTAGCAAATCTACAGGCAAACTTGAACCGACTCGAACAATGATCAGGCCACTGGCTCCTCCCATTTTATGCCACCAAATGCAACATTCAGAGAGTTAGCAGAACCAGCTCTGCGCACCAGAAGACGCGCTATCCAAATCACATACCACCGACAGTGGTAAATATTCAGAAAGACCTGTATGAGTGAATAACATCTTCACTAAAGCCATCATTCCACTGCTTGAAAGCAGCGAAATCCGCAGTGTCCATCTTATATTTTATCAAGCGGGCATTTGCGAATTTCGACGAAGAGTGCCTTCGCAAGGTCTTCAGGATGTTTGTGCGCCCACAGTTAGAATTTTCCATTCGGGCCTGGAGATCCTGGTCTGTCAGAGCTCTACCACCTTCGAAAAAGTCCAACGACGGGCAACCAAGCTTGTCAGAGGTCAAAAAATCTACCTTACGAAACTAGACTGTCCACTCTTGACCTCTTTCCCCTGGACTACAGACAACTACGTGCCGGCTTAATTCAAACGTTTCGGATGCTACAGGGTCAGGATTGCTGCCTCGCATCCGGCAACTTCTTTGAGCCGACCACCATTACTGTCTTGAGAGGATATCGTCTGAAACTATGTGTGACAGGGGCGAGATTGGACGCAAGGAGGTCCTTCTTCAGCCACAGAATGATAAGGGCACGGAATGCGCTGCCTGTGGACGTCGTCGTGTCCTCATGCGTGGACACATTTAAGAGGAAGCTTGACCAGTACAGGGATATGTACCACCACGGCATCAGAAACTAACAATTTTTCCCCCTGTACATCACCCAATGTTTTATGTCACAAAGCATGATACTTCCTATATGTAAGTAGCATTATTCAACGAATTGGTCGTTATCTCCTGACCGCAGCATATACGCTTGCTTCGATATTACTTGGTTCATTCAGCACCGCGTACTGGTTATTGTAAAATTTAACACTGAAGGCGTTCACAGACAAATTTATACCGGTAATCAATGCTTGTCGAATGTGATTACTTACCTAATTTTCTTTGACACTTGCCTTACACACTACTTTTTATGATGTTATTGTAACCAAAAGGGAGTTCAAAGGTGCTCACCTACCTTTCCCTTAATAAATTTGATCTGATCTGATAATAACAAATACAGAAGATCAGTACTTTGTTGACTGTCGAGTTGTATTTAATATGAAGACATGGAGACAGCCAGGTTGTCTATGGCGTTTTGTTCAATGTGATTATCTAGAATAAAATCAAGCTTCTATTGCATTGAAAGCTTCTTCTTTGTCTTGTGCCAATTTCTTTTAACAAATGTTAGAAGATGTTCGATAGAATTAAGATCGGACTATTGACAAGAATAGTAATACACAATTGAGGACCATACGCGGAGGGGTTGACTGTTGTACAAAAAGTAAAACTGTAATTGCTAGCGCTATCAGATTCATACCTCTTTAGAACGATGGACAAGGGCATTGTCGTGTAAAATTATGGTATCCATTAGGCACTGGTGGATGTCGTTGTAACCGAAGGGTGCCAGGTGTAAAGGGTGTCCCCATGCCCGGGGACGTTACTTCCCCACTCCTCCCTACCCCCGCTCCGCATCACTTCTGCCTTCCCCTCCCTTACTCTCCACCCGCACACTCCGTCTCCACTCATTCTACCCTCTACTATTTACTCTACTCCCGTCCCCCATGGTGGTCGAAAAGTCCTGCGGTGAGGGCGACATGCAACCATGTATGCGGCCAAGGCCAGTCGGGTCGTTCTCTCACTAAACCAATATGCGACCCATAGTGGAATTCGGCAGCCGTCTGGGACGACTAATCAGACCTATTTAGGGACAGCACTTCTTACCCCCTCATGGGGGAGGGGGCTATAAAAGGTCTCCTTAAGAAATGCTGGACTCACGGCGTCTGCGCGCAGATCTTGGCTGGGAGACTGCAGTACATGTGGTCGAAACAGTTAAACAAGAAACAATGATCTCTCTCTCCCCCCTACCCGTCCCCTCCGCTGCATCCCACAGGCTGTTAGAATGAGCCCGCCCACTCTGGCAGCCTGGAATGCTCGTTCCCTTTTAGAAAACCCGAGGAGCAACCGACCGGAATGGGAGGTAGCGCTTGTAGCTCGAAAGCTGGCCCACCACAAGCTGAACATTGCGGCTCTCAGCGAGCCCCGGTTTTTCGCACAAGGCCAAATGAAAGAGGTGGGTGCCGGCCACACCTTCTTCTGCCTTGGGGCAGAAGAAGGTGTGGGCATCGTCTTCGCCATTCGAATGACATTTTGGGCGACTGCCATGTCTGCTGCAGGATATCAACAATCGTCTGATGAGCCTCTGCCTGGCTCTCCGGGGAGGGGGGAGGGTAAGTTCGACACCATCGTCAGTGTCAGCACCCCACCGAAAACCAGCTCCGACGAGGCAAAGAACAAATTATATGAAGACCATCAAACCCTATTGGCGACCGCGCCGAAAGCTGATAAGCTGATTTCCCTCGGTAACTTAAACGCCCGCGTTGGCACAGACCATGCTGCCTGAAAAGGATTGCTGGGTCCCTATGGTCGCAGCGGCTTCAATGACAATGGTCCACTCCTCCTGTGAACCTGCGCAGAACACCGCCTCATCTTGATCAACACCTTTCGCCTTCCAATGCGGGAGAAGGTGACCTGGATGCATCCGTGGTCGCGACACTGGTACCTGCTGGACTGTGTCTTCGTCTAAAGGTGAAACCAGCAGGATATACTGGCGACAAATGCAGTCCCGGGAGCTGACGGGTGTGTCGAAGGTGGTGTGGTCAACAAGACTGAGGTTCCCAAATCAAAAGTCATGAAAGACGGTTTGAGTTGGACAACCTTGACTGTTGTAGATATACGTACACAAAAGCTCTGTAAGCAGTTGCCGCGAGCGCGCTCTCCAGGCTAGTTGTGCTGTCTGTGTCTGCCGCGGTGGAGCTCAGACCCAGCGCGTGTTTGCGCCTTTAGTCATCTCAGCTTCCGCCAGCCAATTAGAGGGACAGCGTTGATTGGCTTCGAGCACTCACGAGGCTAGTGACAAGCCTCGCGCGTTCCAGCGGCGGATCTACAAGGAGTGTGAGGCAGACAGGAAGGCATCGTGACAAGGGCGGAGGGCAATGGAACGCAAACTGTCACAGATGGACCAACTATCGCCTCGTCATCTCAAATGTGAGGATCCGCCTAGAGCTACGCAGGAGATCTCAAGACAAGAGACCATCAGGTAAGCTCAATACTGTTTTTTGAATGTGCCCGCTCATCATCTCCATTTTAGCAATGAGGTGGATTAGTGGATAGCCAAACTTCCAACCGCCGTCGTCGCCGCTGCCGCCGCTGCCGCCGCCGCCGTCAACTGAGGGGCACAGTCCAGTCAACCGCCCTGGCTGTCCTCGGTCGCGAACGCCGTCAATATCAGGACCGGTTCGACGACAGTGTGACCGCCATCAGCAACCTACTCACAGAGGAGAGCCGACTGCTCAAAGCCTACGTCGTCCACCCCGCCGACGACAATAAGGCAGCCTTCTATCGCAGTCGCCACCCTGGGCAACAGTGGCTGCGGGAGATGCAGGAAGCCTGGGCGGCTCGCAAGGTCAAGGAAATCCAAGGTTACGCGGACCCCAACGAATGGACAACCACTTCGCCGTAACCAAGACTGTCTACGGTCCCACGGCCAAATGCGCCGCTCCTCTTTTCAGCGTCGACAGAACCACCCTACTGACTTAGAAGACGCATATTCCGCAGTGATAGGCTGAACACTTCAGAGGAATTCTCAACCGTCTTTCCGCCATCTCGGATGCTGCCACCGACCGACTGCCCCAAGTGGAGACCAACGCGCACCTCGACCTCCTGCCCCTCCCCATGAGACCATCAGGGCCGTGCAGCAAATATCTAACGGGAAAATCCCCAGGTCAAACGCGATCGCTGCAGAAATCTGCAAGCATGACTGCCTTCAACTCACGAATCACCTTAAAGCGCTCATCCAGAAGATGTGGCAGCAAGGACAAGTCCTTCGGGATTTTTAGGACGCCATAATCGCCCATCTCTAGTAGCGGAAAGGGAACTGCCAACTCTCCAACAACTACAGAGTAATCTCGCTGCTCAAAATCGTCGGAAAAGTATTCTCTTGCGTCCTTAATTGCCTCAACAGCCATTTTGAAGAGACTCCTGCCGTAAAGTCAGTACGACTTCCGCCGTCATCGCGGCACCATCGACATGATTTTCGCCGCCCGCCAACTGCAGAAGAAATGTCAGGAAATGCGGATCCGTACCTACTCTGCCTCCATGGATTTGAAGAAAGCCTCTGACGCGATGAATTGTAAAGGACTGTGGAGTATCGTGCAGAAATTTGGCTGATCCAAGCGGTTCACTCAAATAGTGCCTCAATTCCACGATGACATGGTGGCGCGTGTCACGAGCAATTGAGCCGTCTCAAGGTCATTTGCAGTGACTAACGGAAGGAAGCAGGACTGCGTCCACGCTCCCACCCTTTTCAGTCTCATGTTCTCTGCCATGCCTGCCGTGACAAAGGCCCTGTGACCGGTGTTGCCTACAAGATGAACGGCCAACGCCTCAATCGTCGATGGATGTAATTCCAGACGCGTATATCCACAGCTGCCGTCCATGAACTTCTCTTCGTCGACTACAGTGCTCTCCATGCAACTACGGAAGGGGACATGCAAAGGAGCATGGATCTCCTCGTCGCCGCCTGCAAAAACTTCATCCTGATCCTCAACACGGAGAAAACGGTGGTTATGCACCAGCCTCCATACAACGCTGCCTATAATGTACCGCACATTACCGTCAACGGCACCCGATTGGAAACCGTGGACACCTTCACCTACCTAGTAGCGCAGACCCTCGCAGCACCAAGAATTAAGGACGAGGTGCCTCCCACCGATCTCCAAAGTTAGCCAAGCCTTCAGTCGCCCTCGGAACACCGCCAGGGATCGTCACTATCTCCCCTCAGCACCAAGCTCAAGATGCACAAAGCTGTAATACTGCCGATGCTGCTCTATACAGTGGAGATTTGAGCGGTGTACAAGAAGTAGGCGGGAAGACTCAATCACCTCCACCTTTGCCGTTTTCGGCGAATAGTAAATCCAAGGTGGCAGGAGCGGATTCCGGATCCAGGGGTTCTCGCCGACAAGGAGGATAGGTCCGTCGCTAGAAGGACGCTCCGAAGACTTCCTTGATGCGCCTGCAGATCAGCCCAGAAAGGGGCGATTTGATATTACATCTGGGTTTCTAAACCAGCCTAGAACGTCCATCTGAAAAGTTGGGAAAATCATAGCGATGCCTGCGGAGATTAAAAATACTTACTAGTAATGTCGTATTAGTAGCCTAATTTCTTGCATAAAACTAGTTTGGGATGTCGAGCGTGCGAATTAAGCTTCTATGCAGCACTGAGAAAGATGATGAGATTACCCGTGCTTCATACAATTGCACGTTCGTTTATAGTCGTCGGCAACTGGGAAACAGGTGTACATAGCAGAAAACCAGATGTACTTGCCCTGAATCCACCCTGACCACAAACTCCTGATTCTAAATACCACTACTCTGGTCAGTGTTTGTGCTTATCCCTACTCAAAAAACTCATTCATAGTCAGGTTATCTTGATCTGTGTCGTTTTTTCTATGCACTTATGTTCTCCTAGGTAGCTGTGGCCGTCAAAAAAGTGGCAACAAAATACTTTTTTTCCGACGATGTCCACCGTGCGCTCCACGGTAAGGGGAGAGCAGGGACGGTGACTTGTGCATGAATTAGTTTATACCACGCTCTCTCCCCCTCCCCCCACCTGGGCCCGGGTGTCAAGACATAGTCAAGAAGACCGGAGGCGGTGGAGGGTGCAGGTGGATGGCACGGTCGAGCCCGCACCTTGGAGTTCCACTCCACACCCCCTGGTCCACACAACAAATAACCAGGTTTTTAATCGACAACAACAATGGGGGGGGGGGAAGCAGCGGTCCAAATGTGTGCGACGTCTTCCGACAGCTGGGTCTGCAACTGCACCCCGGGATGTTGGCATTTGTTGTGGTACACAGTCCGATAACGCCTGCCAGAATCCGATATGGTCGCCGTGTTGGTCCAGCGCATCTACCACGTGGCCTGTTTGGGGGTACAGGTTCAATCATATTTATACGCTTTTAAACACAACCTGTTTTCTTGTTTTTCTGACCCTTAAACTCCTTCCTGTATTACGCGCGTTTGAAATCATGCTGACATCATGACAAACTTCACAATCAAAAACGTTTTCAAGACATGCGTTCTTAT